CTGGTGAGTCTGTGGTTAGAATGTTGATTGCCTGGCTAATCGTCTGGGCATGCAGGCGAGTTCAGCTCTTGAGCAAACTTAACTCGTGCGGGCGAGTCAAGTGTGCAGGCGAGTTTCTGATCGCCTGACGGATCGCCAGATGCATAGGCGAATTTAGTGATTGCGTGGTCTTGGCTCGTATTGGTGAGTCAAGCACACGGGTGAGCCTAATTTTCACGTTGCGCGGGCGACTCGAATACGTAGGCGGATTTTAGGCTTATCTACAAAGGTAATTTTTACCGCCTATAGTATCCTTTTGAAGTAAAATCAAGGCACGTCATCGACTTTGACTCAAAAGACCTTGGTATCCTTTTGGAATAAAACCAAGGCACGTCATCGACTCGGTCGACTTCGACTCGAAAGACCATGGTATCCTTTTGGAATAAAACCAAGTCACGTCATCAACTCGGTCGACTTCAACCATTAAGATCTTAGTATCCTTTTTGAATAAAACCAAGGCATGAAGTCGACTCATCTTAGTTACAAATCTCAAACGAAGTAAACTACATATAAACATATAAGTGAAACAAGAAAGGTACATAGATTGAATAGACAAAAGTGCATCTTTTTATTCATATATCAAAATATTTACAATACAAAATATTTACATCGTAAAGATGCCAAAAAATTGAAGAAAAGAAAGAAGATACATAGGATATTTAGGGGCCTATCTCAGAGCAGGCGTGGGGCTTGAAGTGGTGTGACGTTGAACCTAGGAGTAGAAGCCGAGCAAGGAGGTGCATCAGTAGTAGAAGTCGACAGAGGAGTCGACTGTGGCTCAAACCCAACCTCTTCATCCTTTTCATCTTCAAGATGACTAGCCTAACTATATCGAACAGAGCCCTCACCCATTCCTTGATCCAACTCCTCACCCACCTCATCTCCATTGTTAATGTCTAGGACCTACCCTCCTCCCCTCCTCTTTATTTCCTAGGGAGCATCAAGGTAATTGGCGACTTGGGGAGGACAATAGAACAACTTGGGAACAACCTTGAAGTCAGGACGAAGCTGCATCTTGAAGAAGTCATAGCCAGCCTTGCACGCCAGGGCCATCCCCAACTCCTCGAGAGTACTGTTTTGGTATTTCTCCACAACCTCTACTTGGTAGGCCTCAGATTTGAGATGGTTAAGGTGACCCTGTAGTGCCTGCATTTCGACGAACGATGTCTCTCGTTGTCTCTCGGTTTCTAGAGCTACCTGGGCCGCCTCCTTCCATAGAGAATCATGTGCAACCACTTCCTCCTGCAACTAGTCCTAAATGGTGTCAACATTTTGGTGAACTAGTCGAGCCCGCTCAAAGGCTATACTGCTCCCCCACCTCTCGACCTTGATCTCATCCCTCAAGTATCTCACTGTGTCATCTCGTTCATGAAGTTCGTGCTTAAGATGACCGATGTACTTCTTGAGCATGTTGATCTCTGCCGGATTTTTGCTGTTAGACGCCTTCAGGCCCTTGATCACCTCCTCCCGCATCTCTATCTCTAGGCACCATTTTCCTTTACCCCTCCACTAAGCCACTAGCTTGTCCTCCTTGGTGGCTAGCTTCAAGTTAGCAGTCTCTTGGGTCATCTTCTCAGCTTCCAACTTTTCCTGGAGCTTGAAGTAGACTTCCTGGATGTGCTCAAAGTGCTCAAATAGCTCCTTCTGCACCAAGGCCTCTCAGAGTAGATAGCTCCTCAGGGTTTAATGGAGACTACCAGTGGGCATGGCCATGAGGATCTCATCATCCTTAGGCAGTAGGAATTGGTCCATAGCCCTAGCCTAGACCATCTGGGACTTGAAGATTGACGCCCTCTTGTTGAGACCCGCCAATGGATGCATCAATTCTCCTTGAACGGCTCCTTCTCCAATCTGGGGCTGGCTTTAGGCGTCCTATCATCAATTTCCTATACTCCCCCTACGCATCCACTAGAATTTCTTTGATGCGATTGGGCAAAGGGCCATCCAATGCGGCCCTCCTGAACAGAATGTACCTCTGTCGCTATTAACTCTTCGGTAGCGAGCTCCTCACCCTTTCGGAGGACCAACTTGGCTGGCGGAGGCTGAACCATCTTCTCCTCGATCCAAACCTGGACATCTGCAAGATCAAATGCCACCATCTCATCCCCTCGGCCCAAGCGGGGGACTCCTAGTTGACCACATTGATGACATCGACTGACTCTATATGAGTGGTCTCAGGGAGAGGAGTGGCAAAATTTTTGCCTTCCTCAGCTTCTTGAGCAGGAGCAAGAATGGTTGCCTATGTTGTGCTCTCCTCCCTAGCCCGCGCTGGTTCGGCACTTCCAGAGCGACCTTGGCTGCTTACTTTTTGTAGCCACCTCCTCTTCTTCTCAGACCTCTCGGCCTGGGTAGTGGAAGCACTTGGCTGAGCCAACTGAGCCGCGATCTCAGCAGCCTTCGTTGCCACATCCTCGGCCTCTTTCAAGGCCAACTCGGATCTCAAACATTTTTTGGGCCTGATTAGAGCCCCTGCCGGAGATGCCTCCAACTCCATTAGAGGGGAAGCCAGGCCCGTCGCTAGAATCTTGTTTTCTTCAATTAGCGGGTTTATGGAGATGCTGGCCACCCGCAGAACCAAAGGATCGAACAAATTCTCGATCCTATATAACCTAGCATAGGCACAAATTTTCTCGAGCCCACTATTCTCCTTGGCCGTTGTCACGCCCCGCTTCCCAAAATACCGGGGAATCGGAACGTGAACAAGCCCGCGACGTATTAGATTAAGAAGAAATATACACTATTTTTTTTTCTTTTCTCCTCAATCCAATACGCTAAGCATCTGGAAATAATACAATGCAAAGGCACAGGTCCCCGATCACAGTAGCGAGAATATAATAAACAAAACAGACAGAAAATATGCATATCACAACTAAAATATCATCCAAGACACAAAGTTTGGGTCAATCATGCCGATTAATCATCCAAGTAACAAGATCATACTAGATGGAATTAATACTTAAAAATCTACAACAAGAGACGTAGTACGTCGAGCGAAATAATCCAAACAAGGAAACCCTCATG